TGAATTCCTAGCTCTGCCACCACATATTTTTCGTATTGAGGGTGCGATCCTGCGCCGCATGACATATTCTCATCTAGTTTAACGCAAATCATAACTTATAAATATTTTTATTGAAGAAATCACTGCACAAAATTGTAAAAAATGTTCCGTTTTGCATAAGTTTGAAACTACTTCACTCACTTTACTTATCAGGGTCAGGCTGCTACGTGCCCAGTGACTTTACTTATCAGGGTTAGGCTGCTACGTGCCCAGTGACTTTACTTATCAGGATCAGGCTGCTACTAAACCAGCAAGTTGGTGCACATGATAAACTAAGGAGTCGTCTGGGGCTAGAAAAAAGTAATAGGGACTTTTAAATTTCCTTATTCAATTCACGTGTTACAATAGCGAGAGAAATATCATTCGATTCATAACGCAAATATCTAGCGACTGTAGGCGTCCATATTCCCATTTTACAGAACTTTTTACACTTTTCCCTTTCCCCCCCCCTCTATTTTTCAATGTTTAACACAAACAATAGACAAATCATAAGAAACGCTGCTAAAGCCGCCTGATATTCTCTTTACCAAACGAATGATGTGGTCATCAAAGTAGTACCTTGAAAATTAAAGGAGGAGATAGATTTTAGATGAGGCGATTTCAATTTTTCAGGAGAGTCGAATAAGTGAAATGGATTAAAAAGTAGAAGTAAAGTCTAAAAAGTTTGCTTGACACATATTTTTCACATATTTTTCGTATTGAGGGTACGATCATACGCCGCATGACATATTCTCATCCAGTTTAACGCAAATCATAACTTATAAGTATTTTTCTTGAAGAAGTCATTATACAAAATTGTAAAAAATGTTCCTTTTTGCATAAGTTTGAAATTACTTCACAAACTTTATTTATCAGGGTCAGGCTGATACTTGCCCAGTGACTTTATTTATCAGGAGCATGCTGATACTTGCCCTCGAAAACCTAAAAGCCAAGCATACAGATCGAGATCAAGGTTTTTTTTTTATCTCAAATAACCCGAAGTCTAACAACTTCTTTCTCTGTTAAACCTATTTCAGTAGCATATTCTGTCGCCCACTGCTTAGTATCAGGATGAACGGTAATTAAATAAAGAGGTTCGCCTGCAATGAACCATCGATGATTGAGATCCTATTAAACATCCATGAGTCATTGATGGACATAAGTTGCACTCGCTACCCTTTCGATTTATTTGTGTTTTATTGTAAAGTCTTGGCAGATGCGGCCACTCATCGTTACACCAACCATAATCCGCCACGCCCGCCCCGCCTATAGCCATCGGTGCACATTTCCTAATTTTATATTTGGAAAGGAACCAGTGTGCCTGCACCAGCATCATGCGGTGCCCCGACGCCTGCACCAGCACCATCATGCGGTGCCCCAAGCCTCCACCAGCATCATCATGCGGTGCCCCGACGCCTCCACCAGCATCATCATGCGGTGCCCCGACGCCTCCACCAGCATCGTCATGCGGCGCCCCGACGCTTGCACCAGCATCGCCATGCGGTGCCCCGACGCCTGCACCAGCATCATCGTGCGGTGCCCCGACGCTTGCACCAGCATCATCATGCGGTGCCCCGACGCTTGCACCAGCATCATCATGCGGTGCCCCGACGCCTGCACCAGCATCGTCATGCGGTGCCCCATGCCTGCACCAGCATCGTCATGCGGTGCCCCGACGCCTGCACCAGCATCGTCATGCGGTGCAGCGACGCTGCAAGATTTGCGGTAGTTGAGTCAGTCTCCACTCCCCATCATCAAGGATGAATCTCCAGCAATCAACTTATCAACTCACAAGCCACGGTATTCGTCAGAACTTTTCCTAAAATAAATCAATAATATTGGTAAAGTTTGGACGTTTTTCCATATTACAATTTCGATTGAAGACCAAAGAATAGATTTGATTAATTGTTGCATTTAGCGCCGGACTAGCAGGCTATTCCAGCATTACTGGGCTTGATTATTCCTGATATGTTAGAATACTGTTAAGTCGAATCCCGTAATTCTCGTAATTGCATCAATATACTCGAGTAGTGCAATATACTAAAGTATATAAATGTTATATACTGGAGCCGAACGACATTTCTCGCTGTCGCCAGCACGATCAAAAAGCAGGTTTCTGAATAACATTTTAACGTTTCGAATAAAAAATTATTCAATTATGCATTAAGATGAAGGCTTTGCAACCTTCGAAATTTCTAGATTTTGAAATGAGGGAAAACATTGAATATTGTGGACGTTACTGGAAAATTCATGAATAAAATTACTCGGTAGATATTTTCCCTGAGTACATGTGGCTAGGCTTCTGCGTCTCGGAATAGTTTTCTCGAAATGAACCTGGACAACCGGGACGAGACAAGAAATTACCAGAAAAAAAATAATGGGACCGAGGATAAAATATATCAGGGAATAAATGTATGAACCGGTACAAGGCTTGTGCCCCGGACTTTAAAACTTGTGTCCCGTTAATTGTGAAACGATACGAGACAGATAGATATAAATTGAGACGTGACGTAGCGACACATTTCACAAATGTTCATGGCGAAAGAAGATATTCCTTACTATACGAAATCGAAATATTCCGATCGCGTGGTTAAGGAATACCAAGTTAGCCCTTGATTGTTAATGAACAGTTACCATTCATGGGCAGATTAGGCGAAATTTGGCTGCCAAATTTAATGGGCAGACTTGACGATGTGTGACTGAATATTTATTGAATGGTGTTGCTGTTGAGCTTTTAATCGCGCGCGACGAGAATCATACCAGTTCAGTGCGTTTAATGATATCAGAGCGAGTCGTTGCCGCGTGTCAATCGGTCAACCGCTTAGCTTAGCAGAATGTGGATGCGCTTTCTCAAGCCCTGCAAGATGCCACCCATCAGAAGTGGTAACTGAAAAAAGTTTGAGGATCGAAAGAACCGAGCATAAACCAAGCCAATAGTCGTCACAAACTTTGTGGCGATATTTACAAGTTAAATGATGGCAACACACCAGGGATGCATAGAGACCCTCATTGTGCCGACGCTGGTTAGCTCAAAGGCTGCAGAAATGTAATGCCGGTCTAAATCGACTCTCGTGTGTCATTAGTCGAACTGGAGAACATCAACAGTGAAGATTTAAGCTTCATTGAATTTTAAAAACCGATACTTACATGAGAATATTAGGCGTTTACTTGGTAAGTTTTGATGTCGGTTAGCCAAAGCCAAAGTTTGCATCCAAGCCGAAAAGCAATGCCATCACCTCCTGTAGGCTACCGCAGATGAGTCGAGTAATTATCACCAATCAAGTGGAGAACGTACCACCTAACGCTATATGAACTTGCTCGTTTGACCTCACGGTCATTTAATTTCACAACATAGATTGTTAAAAGAGAAGCATAATTGTTTCCCTAGCAGATATCTCGTAATAACTTGTTGGCTGGAAATAGGCTAACAACGAGCAGCTACTGGCCGCTACTCTTTATTAACCCCAGGCACTACCCCTGTACACGAGGCCACTAGCCTGGTAATTAGTGACGATTAGTACTGACCGTAGTTCATATCGTAAACGAAGCAACGCAAAAATTTGCTTCCATTCCTGCTACGGAGTCTGGCTATTAATTAGATGTGTTTTAAATTTCATGCAGATCTGTTTAGAACTGAGGGACTTGTGAGCTGGTCAGTAGTGTGAAGTTTTTTTTCGTCGCATTCGAAAGCGAAATGACATAGAAATCTGTAATAATTCCTACCGCTGCGCATTTTAAGCAATTGGTTACGTTATAAATTTCACTCTGGCCCTTTAAATTTGCTAGATAGGACATAACGATGTCATTTTACATAGTAATATACCTGAAATGCTGCAAACAGACAAAATGTTGATCAGATAATTTCTGAAACAATTTACCTGTCTAATTACACTAATTACGCGTTAAGCATTAACTATCATGTGTGTTGTCTCGCTATTTACGTTATGCACTGTTATATAAGAAGAAAGTCTGGGAAATTTTAAACTCATATTTTAGCCGAGAGGTCTCGTTTCGGTATTGTCCCGGAATTCCCACGGAGTGCTGGCAATTGTCCCTGTTTTTATTGCTGACCAGGACAAGCCCTGTTGTCTCGTCTCGAATGGAAAAAAGTACCAAACGCAGAACTCTACATGAAGTAAAAATCTAACCTGCGGTCTTCAGCACCTGCAGCAATATATGGGCTTTGGCAGCACCTGCAGCAATATATGGGCTCTGGCAGCACCTGCATCAATATATGGGCTTTGACAGCACCTGCAGCAATATAAGGGCTTTGGCAGCACCTGCATCAATATATGGGCTTTGGCAGCATCTGCAGCAATATATGGGCTTTGGCAGCACCTGCAGCAATATATGGGCTTTGGCAGCACCTGCAGCCATATATGGGCTTTGGCACAGTATAGACATCTTTTATCACTCCAGTTGTGATGTTGCTCCATATTTCACATACACTTGATCCCATCTCAACGATGTTTGAGCTTCGAACCTAATCACAAAGAATCCAAATTTCATTCATTCAATAATAAATGTTCGTTTCCATGTATGCCGATTCATGTATATTTTTGAGACGATATATTAGTTATTGACGTTCAACTGCTTAGAATAACATCAACACTTGTAGCAAGTTTATTTATCCTCAAAATTTGCTATGTGTAGTAGAGACTACATTTGCTATGTAGAATAGAGAGGACATAAAGTTCGGTTTTATATTGGACCATGTTTACTTTATTTACAATCTCATGTTTTTAGCCATATCTCTAGACATATACAATTAGTCAATACATGATTTAGGCTTTTTATGGAACTCGCTTAGTAATTGTGGGGATGACTAACAACTTCTCTGCAATTCCTTCACTGCCCGAAGGAATTGCCGAAGGAATCGAATCAGGCGCGACAACAGGATCGCCGACGGTTGTTGATTATATACTTGATGAAAATAAATATATTTGTATTGTTTTAATTTATANCTCACCTCACCACGGCAGCCACGCCTGCACCTCACCTCGCCACGGCAGCCACGCCTGCACCTCACCTCGCCACGGAAGCCACGCCTGCACCTCACCTCACCACGACAGTCACGCCTGCACCTCACCTCGCCACGGCCGCCACGCCTGCACCTCACCTCGCCACGACAGCCACGCCTGCACCTCACCTCGCCACGACAGTCACGCCTGCACCTCACCTCGCCACGACAGCCGCGCCTGCACCTCTCCTTGCCACGGCAGCCACGCCTGCACCTCACCTTGCCACGGCAGCCACGCCTGCACCTCACCTCGCCACGGCAGCTACGCCTGTACCTCACCTTGTCACGGCAGCCACGCCTGCACCTCTCCTCGCCACGGCAGCCACGCCTGCACCTCACCTCGCCACGGAAGCCACGCCTGCACCTAACCTCGCCACGGCAGCCCCTCCCACCCCTCACCGAGAGTGACGCAGCGTTTCTGCCTGTTGATGAGCAAGCTTTTGATGCGAGGTTATCAACGCGTCTCAAACTGAACGCGTCGTGATTCCTGCAGAATTTGATGTTGCTTCCGTTTGGTCTTATCAATATTGAGCAAGCATGGATAAGCAAAACGGACCATTGGAGCTCAATACGAACTCCGTATCCCGACCCCCGCTCTAGGCCACAGCTAAAAAAAGTTTCCCATGAAGAACTCCAATCATTAGCCAGCAAATCAATTTCAGCCTTCAAACCTTTGAATATTTTTAATCCAGACAACATTAGGCGACCACATTCAGACACGATGAAATACATTTCGAATTCTCTTCTCGTAAATCCACAATCTGCACTATACAAGAACAGAAATCCGGCAAATTTGCCTTATACGCATGTACGTGAAGAGGATATTACTTTTTCAAGCATTAATAAAAATTCTTCAGATCAGGCGCTATATTACTCCAATTCAGCTGCCAGTTTACCCAACACAACCCTAAGTATGACGTTACCAACTGCTGTCAATTTTTCCACAAGCTCAATCCAGCTCACATGCCTGCTCAACCCATTCATGGCATTCCGACATGAACATAACTACCCTAGACCGATCGCAATCTTCCTCGAATTCAGGTGCCGCTATTCCTAGAAAAAGCCAGAATATTAATATCGCAACTGCGGCAAATTTGTCACAAGCTCCACCGAATTTAGACTTCAGAGTTCCAAACACGGTTCATTCCCACATGAACCAAACTTCACAGAGATTGGCATATCCTCCATACAATTCACATACCATATCACCAAGTATGATCACACACAATCTTAACAGCTTCTCATATCCTTATAAAACTGTGGTCAATCCATGCTCTGGTTTGCCAGATATACCATCTCAACTATCAAATGAACATTTTCCAATATACCCTCCAAATGTTATGCTTGGACCTACTGTAATGATGCACTACGGTGATCGGATGACAATGACTCGTGCAAGAATATATCAAGGATATCTTAGTCCTATTGAAACCCTTTCACATCAAACGCATCAACAGGCTTATGGATTTTGTGGAAACAATATTTGTGCTCCTCCAATGCATGGACTGAATAACCTTACGAATTCAGTATGTTCGCCTTACGATTATACCCGCAATTTTTACGATGTTCATCAAGCACCCGGCACACCGTTACATATTCCTCGCCCGACATTACTAGCGTACGAGCAGCACGTAGGTCAAGCATCGCCGTTCAATGCAAGCCAGAAAACTGCTCGACTTCATCAGAGCGCTATGTCGTTTTCACCAACTGTACCATTTCCACAATTGGATGTGAACGATCGTAGTTCCATTGGGGTTAAAGAAACGCAGCCGAATATATCTCCGACCTTTGAAACTATGATATCGCCACTCGAAAGATCTTCGATGAATGTGTTTGACGAATCGATGCATCCTTTGGATCCAAGGTCGTCAATGGCGTCGTCGTCGCTGAATAACCTAGCCGGACAACGTGGCCCGACACGTACATTAGTCAATGAAATAACGAACAAAATGAAAAACCCTCAGACCCCGAAACTCACCAACAACAATCTGTCCCAGAAAAATGAACTCAAAACATTACAAAATGTTGAAGCACGTTCACAAGACCACAAATATCGAATACAAATGAAAAACGGTCATTTTCTACCATCACATCCCCCCTATCAACGCTATCGCTATCAACCCTTTCGCCATCAACGTCATAAATATTCCTCAAGTCAATCTCTTCAAAACTCCCATCAAGAGCCTGGCATGACACAGAACCTACAGATCTCTTCTCATCTAGCATTCCAGCAGCAATCAGCGCAAATAAATGAGGGAAATGTCGATCGGCCCATTCGGCACTCACAAGACATCACGTCGTCAGCAATTAAAACCTGCATTCCAGAAAATTCTTCAACCGCTGATAATCAAGTACAGAACAGAATACAGAATACTGTAGATAGTTTCCGTAATTTTAAAAACGTTGATCAACCGCGTCACATAGAACAAGGCCTATTCGAAACGAGGAAGGAAAAATACCAAGAAGATCCTCTGCACACAAAGAACGTAACCGAACCGCTACACCAAATTCTGCAGGAGGAACTTGATGAACGGCATGTTTCCCCCGGACAGTTTTTCCACGGTTCCCTAGTAATTTGTCAACAGGTGCCTCACTTGTCCATTCCGAGCTGGGAAGCTCAAACGCGATACGTGGAGTGTCTATCGGAGCAAATAATACTAGATCAAGGTAAGGGTGAAGTGATTCCCAAACAGCCTCGCATTCCAAACAAGCCTACACTTGTAGCACATAACAAAACATTAGAATCTAAACCAAGAAACTTAAAGAAATCCGCTCCTCCAAAACCAAGAGCATCGAAGAAAACAACCATTCAAAAACCAAGAATTCCAAAGAAGACGACATTTTCTCGAGCAGGAATAACGGAGGAAGCAGCCAAAATTAAACAACACGAACCTGGCTCCGTTTCTAATCAACCTTCAACAGAATCCACGGAGGTTCAAAGCTCAACACGGCTCGACGATTTAATACGAAATGCTCTCCTTGAGTTACAAAACAATTGTAGTTCGAATCAGAATCAGGCGTTAAACAGCCGAAAGAAATTCGCTCCTCTAAAACCAAGAGCGCCAAAGAAAGCGATCATTCAAAAACAAAGAATGCCGAAGAAGACTACAATTTCACCAGCAGAAATAACGGAGGAAGCTGCCAAAATTAAACAACACGAACCCGGCTCCGTTTCTAATCAACCTTCAACAGAATCCACGGAGGTTCAAGGCTCAACACAGCTCGACGATTTAATACGAAATGCTCTATTAGAGTTACAAAACAATTGTAGTTCGAGTCAAAATCAGTCGTTACACAGCCGTGCTTTACAGGACGGACTATCAATTGATGAAGTTCCGAAGTCAGTCGAATTGGAAAGAAACGTTAAATCTCATTCTTCGCAGAACCCTGGTTCCAATCTTGCAGATACGGAGAAGTACCCAGTACTTCGCGAAATTTTGCTCGGAAATGGAACAGACAACCGATCTCAAGCTGACAGTGGTCACTTAAGTTTGCAAAATTCGACGCAGGAAAAGGATGAACCATGGTTCGTTGAAGTGGTGTTCGTCGGAAACGGCGATTCAAGTGCAAACGAGGAGAACAAGGTTGTGGATGGTAACGATCAATTGTGTCTGTCAAGTGACTGCCACGATGAATGTTTGCTAGAGTACGACATTGATGTCCATCACATTGAAGATCAATTATCAAAAGCTGTAAAGAACGAGGTTGTAACGGATCTCATTCTACCTCTTTGCTCTTCAAATATGTCTCCTTTATCACTACCTGATACTCCGTCTCTTACTGAAGAAATTGAAAGACCGGCTTCTTGAGGAACTTTAGTTTATTGGTCTTTTTTTGCAAATGCGTCGTCGGTCCATGTGAAATTATAAATACAGTGGCTCGCAAAAGTATTGGATACATTGCAATTTTTTCATATCTCAAGTTAAAGTGCAAGACTTTTTTTAATATTTGGTCGTTAATGGTGCTAGAAACATTATATAGAAAGGATATTGAAATGTATGCATTGTTTAGATTTTATTCAACAAATAGAAAAATTAGCCCACGCAAAAGTATTGGGAACATGTTTAAAAATAAACAAAAATAATTTTTTTGAAGTACCCAAAATTCGTTTCACTTCAGACGTTCCACCAACCTCATAACGTTATCTAATTGGTCAATCAGAGCAGTTTGCGATTGTTTACGAGATTTTGTGTGCCGGTGAAGATGTTATTCAGCTTCATCTTTAAAATCTAATTTTAAATGGCTAAAACTCGAGAGATGGCGACAGATTTGCGTCAAAAGATCATAGATTGTCACAAGAAACGGAAGGGGTATCGAATAATATCCAAGGAGCCTGATCTATCATTGAGTACAGTTGGAAATATCATCAGGGAGCTATCATCCTGATAATATCATCCGAGCATGCTGTTGCTAACCTTCCAGGACCTGTGGTCGTCCAAGGAAACTAACGGACGGTAGTGCAAGGTGGATTAACAGAGAGGTACAGAAGAACCCGTTTGTTGCTCATGGTGAAATTAAAAGCGACCTGGAGGAATCTTAGATTGATGTAGAAAAGGACACAATCAGCAGAGCTCTAAACCGTACTGGTCATATGTCAAGGTTAGATGAAATTCCTTTTGAAAGTTCGATTTTTGTTTCGTCCGACCAGAATTTCGTCCCAATCTTGTGGGTTTCCCAAATCTTGTGGGTTTCACGTGTCGGTACTTCAACAGAGGAATCATTCGTGAGGATCTTGACATAGACCAGTACGATTTAGAGCTCTGCTGACTGTGTCCTTTTCTACATCAATCCAAGATTCCTCCAGGTCGCTTTTAATTTCACCACGAGATACAAACGGGTTCTTCTGTACCTCTCTGTTGATCCACCTTGCACTACCGTCCTTTAGTTTCCTTGGACGACCAGGTCCTGGAAGGTTAGCAACAGCATGCTCGGATGATATCATCAGGATGGTTGCTTTCTGATGATATTTCCAACTGTACTCAATGATAGATCAGTCTCCTTGGATATTATTCGATACCCCTTCCGTTTCTTGTGACAATCTATGATCTTTTGACGCAAATCTGTCGCCATCTCTCGAGTTTTAGCCATTTAAAATTAGATTTTAAAGATGAAGCTGAATAATATCTTCACTGGAACACAAAATTTCGTAAACAATAGCAAACTGCTCTGATTGGCCAATTAGATAACGTTATGAGGTTAGTGGAACGTCTGAAGTGAAAAGCGAATTTTGAGTACTTCAAAAAAGTTATTTTTGTTTATTTTGGGGGAATTTTTTTATTTGTTGAATAAAATCTAAGCAATGCTTACTTTTCAATATCCTATCTTTATAATGTTTCTAGCACCATTAGCAATATATTGACCAAATATTATAAAAAATCTCGCACTTTAACTTGAGATATGAAGAAAATTGCAATGTATCCAATACTTTTGCGAGTCACTGTATTTTCATGATTTGTCTAGTATTTTGCGCCCTAAAGCGGATTTGACATGGATATAAATTTTATATCACGAAGAATAGTTATACCCGTCACCTAAATCTAGGCTCGAATCGAACCAAATTAGAAATTTCAGAACATAGATTCAAAGAAAGCAAAGTATAAGAGAAAAAATGCCTGTATTTTATGATTTTTTACAAAATGTGTACACTTAGTTACCGACGTTGGGTCTGAGGTAATGAAACCATCGAAGGAACAAACAATATAGGAGGAAAATGCTCAGGAGTAAGATTTCTTTTAAGGATTAGAAGTGTATCTTACGTTTTTAAATGAAATATTGGAGTTAACTTACCTAAATTTATTGCAACAGTCTTAAAGTCCAAAGAAGCACTGATGTCGCAGTTTTCAATAAAATGAAATTATTCCTACCCGAACAGCAGCAGGTTGTCTCAGTTTACATTCGTTGTACGCCAGTATGCAAGAAGTCAATATATTATTTTATCAATGGAAACTGTGTTTAGCTTCATCCTAACTAGAAGTTATATTAGTGAATCCCCCTATGAATAGAGATACATTTCTTGACAGCTCGGTATTGGCCCCGTTGTCCGTGTTGGGAAATGTCTGTTATTGGTACCAACGTCCTGAGGATAGTCGGATGTTTCTGCGGATTTCTGGCGAGCGTCGCTGGCCTGACTAGGTGAAAAGCCGAAACCGTAAATTCGTGACAATATTGATACCACACGCATGACGATCGGCTAGTATTCGAAGCTGAAGATGGCGGGTGAGGCTGCAAGTTAATCATGCTGAGTATTTGTTGAATAAACGGCCTTAGAAGCGTGCGAGGGATGAGTTATACGAGGCAGCTCCGACAGCAATGTTAGTATGCATAGTGACAAGGTGGCATTCAAAAGATGAGGGAAAAATTAAAATGGGATATTAAATCAGAGTTTGCTTAGTTGCACAGAGGTAGGTAAGCATAAAATATGTCTACGGCAGATGAGGAAGGGTATCTTACTTTTGCAGACGGAATCGACACGTATCCGGAACCGCCTGCGAACTCGCCCGCGGTCTCAAACGCAAAACCTAACTACACGCTCAACTTAACCACTCATAAGTCCTTCAATACTGAACGTATTCGTTTGTATTTTTAAATATAATTAGTTATTATCAAAACGCTACGGTAGAAATTATTACAGATTTTTACAACAATTTTTTTTCAATTGAAACGTATAATGACATTTTTAAAGCAACATAATCACTCATATGTCCTTTAATACTGAACGGATTTGCTTGAACTTCAGAATATTAGTATTTATTATCAATACGCTGCGGTAGGAATTATAGCAGACATTTACATTAATTCTTTTTCGATTTAAATGTATAAGCGCATTTTTAAGGCAACTCATTCAGTCATATTTCCTTCAATACTCAACGGAGTATTTGCTGTAGATGTGCTAGTTTAGGAATAGTCAATTTCCAATTAAGGGGAGAAAACTTGAACATGGACTCAATAATTTCGAAGAAGCGCATGGTGTTCATATATTAGGTAGGTTATAGACTGTTAGTTGAATCAGGGCTTGACTCCCTGAGTCAACAGGAGTCAGGTACGCACAACTCCCATACGTAACTCCACTCACGACACCTCCGAGCAGGCGTAGAGCTACGTACGGCTTCTTGTACGTAGCTTCCCGCGCAAATGTTTTGATAATACCACCGCTAGAGTTAAGTCTTCATATCAGCACTTACGCCACACGTAAATCGCTACGTGTACTTAGCGATGTTTTGATAATCCGGCCCCTGGACACCAAAGCACAAAAGTTCAAAGACATCATCAAAATATTGGCAGAACTCATACTCAGGTTTGCTGGCTGTTGAGTCCTCACTTTTTACAACACTTCTCTTTAACTTCACTTCTTGTTGTTTGTTTGTTTGTAGTCTGCTACAAATCTTATAATCGGTATTTAACACGCTTCTACCTGTCCAATCGATCTGAAATTTTGCACACTTGCGTAAAGTTGGAGACAATGCATGATTCAATTGACAGAATAAATAATTTTGGAAAATTTGAAAATTTTTACATTTTAAAAATGAAACTTAAAATTAATTTTTTAATATATCATAATAAAATTAGAAATTCATCGCACATGTGTAACACATGTGTAACACTGGATTCTTTAGAAGTGTTGTCTTTAAAAAATTGTTTTTAAACGCATATTATTTTACTCGTACGTAACTCATAAATCGCAAAGTAAACACACGTCATCACAAACCATTTTGTAAACATACTTCGCTCGCCACAAGACGCCACACCACTATACCACTTATGACACTAATGTGGCTATAGCAGTTACGCCACTATATGCCACTATATCACTTATAACACTTTTGTGGCTATACAACACACGCCACTATATCACTTATGACACTAGTGTGGCTATAACAGTTACGCCACTATATGCCATAGGACACCACGCCACTATACCACTTATAACACTAGTGTGGCTATAGCAGTTACGCCACTATATGCCACAGGATGCCACGCTACTATACCACTTATGACACTAGTGTGGCTATAACAGTTACGCCACTATATGCCACAGAACACCCCGCCACTATACCACTTATGACACTAGTGTGGCTATAGCAGTTACGCCACTATATACCACAGGACGCCACGCCACTATATCACTTATGACACTAGTGTGGCTATAACAGTCACGCCACTATATGCCACAGGACACCACGCCACTATACCACTTATGACACTAGTGTGGCTATAGCAGTTACGCCACTATATGCCACAGGACACCACGCCACTATACCACTTATGCCACTAGTGTGGCTATAGCAGTTACGCCACTATATGCCACAGGACGCCACGCCACTATATCACTTATGACACTAGTGTGGCTATAACAGTTACGGCACTATATGCCACAGGACACCACGCCACTATATCACTTGTCTCTTATACACATCTAGATGTGTATAAGAGACAGGTCAACAAGAGTCAGGTATGCATGATCCCCAGAGTCAACAAGAGTCAGGTATGCATGATCCCCAGAGTCAACAAGAGTCAGGTATGCATGATCCCCAAAGTCAACAAGAGTCAGGTATGCATGATCATCAGAGTCAACAAGAGTCAGGTATGCATGATCCCCAGAGTCANTAATGAAGAGGATTCCTCAGCTTCTAGTTCTGAAGAAATCTCTGATGGAGACGATGATGATTATGACTACATACAATCAAGAGATGGGACAAACTGGAAGAAAAAAGCCCCTTACACTAACCGAAGAACTTTGAGGTGAAATACTCTGCGCGTGGCATCTGGACTTACTGGCATCAGTAAAAACATAGATACGCCAATAAGTGCATTCCAATCTCTGTTTGATGATAGTATCATGAAAATGATAATGGTTTTTTCAGAAAAGAAGGCAGTAGAACTTGGTCATCCTGAATGGAAATTGGAGAGAGAGATACCTGTCTCTTATACACATCTAGATGTGTATAAGAGACCCCCCCCCCTCCGAGAGACACATATACAAACAAGCGCATCTTTCTTGATATTTAGTACGATGCAATTTGAAAAGAGAAAGGTTAAACACAAATATGTATTTCGCAAATGGAACACCATTTAGTAAACCAATATATTTTTATAGTTTCAACTGTTTCAGCACTAGAAATTCAAGACGGCTCGGATTCGTGGCCGGTCTCGCAGCCGGTCTCACGGCCAATCTCCAAATTCATTTACCAAGGAATATCTCCCAAACTAATGAACACAGCTCGATAAAACGTGGTACACGTATTCATTAGGGCCTAACGGTGATGTTTAGCTCGTGAAAAAATTTTAAATTTCACCTTCATTCGGGAGTTATATGGCGATATGGTCCGGAATTCGCAGTTATCAAAGAATTTCTTCCAAGGTACTGAACAGATTCGAACGAAATTTTTAATATAAATACCTAACTACCAAAAGGTGATTTTTAGCTCATAAAAATGTATTCGATTCGGAGTCATGTTCTTCACGTGTTGTGTACAAATCGTCAAACAAACGTACGAACTTCTGACTTCGACTTCGCGGACTGCCACAACCCTACTGCCTCTTTTTTACTCAACGCCACTCCAGATCTTTCCACCGCCCCTAGGGGGGTGATATCGCCCACTTTGGGAGCCACTGGTTTAAAGCATGAACCTCTTACCAGTGGAAGGCTCATTAACGTTATTTTGCAGGCAAGGTGAACCCGACGCAGTGCGAGGCCATTGAGATGGTGGCGGCGCAGGTAATGGGGCAACGCCGTGGCCGTGACCGTGGGCGGCAGCAACGGCCACGTCGAGCTCAACGTCTTCAAGCCCATGATGGTGGCCAACGTGCTCAGGTGACCACCGCCAGTCCGTAATGGTGGTCAGCATGCCCAGGTGACCATTGCCAGCTCATGATGGTGGCCAGCATGCTCAGGTCGGTCTAGGTTATTAAGCGCCATGCCCCCAACATGTGTTGAGGTGAGACTTTATATACCATTGATGGGATGTTTACGCGAGATTGGCTGAAGCCGCATCTGAGGGTAAATATGGAGCTCCTTCGCTAAAACTTTATTCTAAGTTAGCAAACTTGGGGTGTGGTAAACTGTGAGTATAGTGAGCTGTGAGTGCTGTAAACTCTTAGATGTATGGTAAAGTGTTGGTATGGTGTTTATGTGCCAAATTGACATGGTATGCATCACATAAAACAACAGGCTTTCAAATTTCCCCTTAACCTCCCCCCTGCCGGCAATCAATTCTCACCTGAAGCCTGTTGAATGCTGATTATAGTTCACGTTCTCCACTTCTAGTGTGGGCAATTCATTAAACATGTGATCTCAAAAAACACCATACTACACTGAGAGAAAAAGGCCCCCCGTTTTGAAACACTTGGGTGTTTCAAAACCTCTCGAGCTTGACGCGCTTATATTTGTGCGGCTAGGGTCGCGTGGTCAGTGCGCCGAACGCTGTCATAGGAGGAGGTTGTGTGGAGCCGCCGCTCATGAATGTCACGAATCTACACTGCTTACGGTTAATTGACCCAACTCAATTCGTTTAATTGTTTCAAATCACTGCTGTTCTTTTGTCAATAGTAATGTTAACGAGCGACATCTATACCATTCACTCACACTAGAAGTTGATAATAAAATCGAAGATTTATTCTGATAGTACCGCGCGCAAGACAAAACCAATACTGCAGCTCTATGTAGTTGCCGTCTCCGTAGCCGAGTGGACTAAGGCGCCTGCTCGCGAGCGTTTGGTTGCAGTCTTGGCAGAGGTTCGAATCTCGGCGGGCGACTCATAGTTTCTTCAACCACAGTTCGATAGAGGTGAGAGCAAAGAGTGTAGTTTCATGATGATTGTACATACCGATAAAATTGTGTAATAAATATGTGTATAAAAGAATGAATATGTGACTAATTTCGCTGTGAAGGAGAAAAGCGTTTAAATCAGATAAATATAGTTTTCATAATTTTGGTATTGAGGCAGCCATGGATTAGACTGCAATCGACCGGAGGAGTAAAATATATTAAAATAATTTCATCAGGTGCTGGAAACTGGACAAGGATATTGCATAAATTCTGAAAATAAGGTTTCATTCTCCGTAGACTTCCCGTGTTCCACCGCTGAAATACCTAAGTGTTTCAAAATCGCAAATTTTGAAACACCTGAACGTTTTTGAAACACTCGGGTGTTTCGGTTTGGGCACGATCGCTCGGGGAGGATTTGAAACACCCAAGTGTTTCAAAACAGAGGGCTTTTTTCTCTCAGTGTATGTGGGCTTGAACAACACCATACAACGTGTTCATGTTCCAGGTCCATCCGGCTTCTGGGAGACTCGAGTCACGCTTATGTGGACAAGGGCGTGGTGGGCATCCAAGCCAACAGGGAGGAGATAAACCGCCTTCTGCACGAGTCCCTCATGCTGGTCACTGCCCTCTACCCTCACATCGGCTATGATAAGGTGAGCAATGACAAAGGTGTCCTTCATGCTGGTCACTGCCCTCAACCCTCACATTGGCCACGATAAAATGAGCCATGACAAAGGTGTCCTTCATGCTTGTCACTGCCCTCAACCCTCACATTGGCCACGATAAGGTGGGCCATGAATAAACAGTTCTTGTGCTGGACACTGCCCTCATCGTCATCGGCTACGATAAGGTTTGCTAGCTCATGCCAATGAACTCCTAATTTGTTGCTTCTTCAAAATACAGAATTAAATTTTTTCCAGTGTGACCCAATTTACTAGCCTAGAGTACACTGGAACGCATGCAAGAAAAATAATGAGTTATATTCAATTATTAATTTCTCTCTATTTTAGATTTTAGCTCATCGAATTTGTACACTTGCGACCAAAGTACACATAGCGGCACATTTCTCTTTTGGAATACGCCGATCTAGATTGGGAAGCCTTCGGTTATTGGCTGACAGAGTTACCAACTATTTATGTTACTACAGCCTGCCAGAAGGCTGTAAGGAGGGATGCCAGATGGAGGGATTCCTTACAGCCTGCCAGAAGGCTGTAAGGAAGGCTGTAAGTTAGGGATTCATCATGCTGCACTTGAGCCGTAAATAGCTGAATAATATTTGGGTTGTTATTTCAGGCAACGACAATCGCCAAGACCGCACACAAGGAAGGCACCCGCTCAAGGCGGCAGCTCTGAAGCTCGGTTACCTCACCGAGGAGGAATTTGACCGCTGGGTCAGTCCTGAAGACATGTTCGGGCCCAAGTAATGTTCCCGCTATGAGTATAATTGATCAACTGAAGGCTTATTGTCAGAGGTGGGCAGTAGCGCGCTACATGTAGCGGTAGCGGTAGCAGCGCTACATTTAAGGCAATGTAGCGGTAGCGGTAGCGCCCGCTACATATTTAAGTAGATTTCACCTTCCCTACATAGATGTCTACTTTAATCTATCAATCTCAACAACAATCCACATATGTATATATACAAATAAAAGATTGATTTTTTATATGTATATGTGGATAATTTTTGAGATTGGTAGATTAAAGTAGACATCCATGTAGGGAAGGTAAAACATAAAAATAACTGTAACTTTTATTTGCAGTATCTAATCCGTACTAGTTCGGTTAGGTTAATTGCAATAAAGTTGCATTGATATGTTTTGAAAATGTTTTATTATCATTAAATGTTTATGAGTAAATCCCAATAGCAAAACAATAAATATTTAGAGATTTCCAATAATTTTGGCCATTGTAGCGGCAAATGTAACGGCGCTACATTTTACTGTAGCGGTAGCGCTCGCCACAATCTAGTGGGTGTAGCGGTAGCGGTAGCTCCCGCTACATTTAGAGCGTGTAGCGGTAGCGGTAGCGGCCGCTACATTTCAAAGTAGCTCTGCCCAGCTCTGCTTATTGTACTTATCTGGCAACAAATTGTCTGTAATTGGATTACGGATGAAAATTCGAGGAATTACAATTTCAATCGCAGTGTTCATATGCGAAAATACGATATTTTTTTCACTTTTTGTGATACGATTGAGACCAGAATTTATAGTAGACGTATGACCAGGTTTGTCGAATCGAGTGTTATCCGTAATATCTAAACAGGAAATTGGCCGCGATTAAAATAGTTTCAATATTGTCGGAAAATGTAGACATTAACGAAGTTGACACCAACATCAGAACATATTACAGTAACCGAATGTAATATCATTGAAAGAATTGTAATGTAATATCATTGAAACAGGCCAAGGACGCGTGTGGTCTGATAGGCATCTGACCGGCAATGTTTGAAGGTGCATCATCGGTATGGTAGTGATAGTTTACTTCCTCGGCCTAACCTGCCTGCCGAAAAAATGTAGGAAGTTTTTGATGCTTGTAAATTGCGATATTTATAATAAAATTAACTACTCTTTGTTAAACTTTCTCATCTCATGAGCCCGTAATAATTGTTAGTTAATTTTGCAACAAGTCATTCTGCACATGCCCTAACTTTTTGTGTAAGTTAATCTTTGCCGAGCCGATGGGCTGTTGTTGTTGTGGTTCCCCGGTCTCATTTTTATTAGAGACCCCCCTCGCGCAGGTACGACACTACCGACAGGGGGTCGCTCCAGGGCAGGTACTTTCAAAACATTGCTAAGTGCTCGTAACTTCGAATAATGGTACCTTCAAAACATTTTGCGGTACGTTACGAGCACGTAGCTTTGCGCCGATTCAAAGGTCGCGTAAGTGGAGTGACGATCAACTTTTGAGTGAGTGAAGCGATTGTTTATCATTTAGTTACTAGTGTCTGGTCTCTAATAGTGTCTGGACTACTGTATCATACTAGTGTCTAGACTTTAGTATCATTTTAAGGTAAATACTCTAATATTTATTTAGAAAAATATCCTTATTTGATATTAAGGAAATTTTATTAGTCATGCATTTATTAATTTTTTTCTTAGTATATGTCAACAGAAAACGAATCTGACGGTTGAAGCTAAAAAATGGATTTACTAAAATTCTATTTTCGTTGTTCATTATGTCATGTTAATCACTATATAACAGTTTGCTATGATAAAACGGCATTTGTCATGAAAATTTTAGATTAAAAGGGTCTAGAATTCTTTGAAAAGGGATAAAATGTTTAAATAACTGAACACAGAAGCATGGCGTCATGTGACTCTTAACGTAAACAAAGGATGGAAGCGGGCTTATGATTGGCTGACATGCAACGTGTTTTGAAGGTACGCTCTTAGCTAAGTCGGTCGTACGAAAGTTTTGAAGGTGTCAAAAAACGCTGATCGTACGCTAGACGTATCTTCTTAAGCTTAAGTTCAAGAAGTTACGTCCACTTGGCAATATTTGAAAGTACCTGCCCAGATCTGTAGGGTCGTGGTTATGTGGTGGTGTTTTTGTTGTTGTAGTGGTTCCACGGTCTCATTTTTATAAGAGACCCCCCTCGCGCAGGTACTACACCACCGACAGAGCTGTGTTGTCTGAGATCCTGCCAGAGCGGACATTCCAGGAGAATGTGAGTGATTGTGTGGGGAGCTCTCTGGCAGTATGGGCAGGTGTCTGTGTCTGCTTGGCCTATTCTGTTTGCGTATGTTTGTAGTGAAGGGTGGTGGCCGCAGCGCAGCCTGGCTAGGTGTACTCTCTCCAGTCTAGAGAGCTGTGTTTCTGTGCTGCTTATGTCAGCTGGTGGGTGCCCAAGGACTTTGTTGTTGCCGGCCAGCTCCAGCGTTCTAATTGTCATAATTGTGTGTAAGTGTTTCTTTTTTGTGCTGGTGTTGCCTTGGGGTGGGGGTACTGTATCGAGTATGTTGGTGTAGTATCTGTGTGGGGTTTGCACTATTTGTCTTTGTGTAGGTGGGTGGTCGCGTAGGTAGTGGCATGGGTGTTGTGTGTTGTTTATGGCTGCGGCTATGAATTGTGTTCCTCTCATGTCGAGGTGTGCTTTTATGGGAAGTATTTTTGTTTCTGCATGAAGGTGTTCTAATGCTGTTTGAGTTGTGTAAGCTGCGTATTGTTCTGTAAAGATGTGTGATGTTGGATTTGTGGTCTAGTATATCTAGGAACTCGAGCCAGGCCCGTTGCTGTTGCTCTGTGATTTTGTTTTGAATTTGTGCGTTTAGTTCCTGGATTTCTCGAGTAGTGATTGATGAGTGAGGGGTGGGCGTTTGTCTGAGATTGTTGCGTTGACGGATGAGGCTGGCTATCTCAGGTGTGAAGTTAGGGTTGTGTTGTTTTCTGTTGCCCATTGGTACGTGTTTCTTGTCAGCCTCTTGGATGATTTTGTTGAATTGGGCAACAGTGTGGTCAATGACTGTGATTGGGAGGAGGTTCAGGTGTTCAAATTTTACTTCTGTCTCGTGTTTGAATTCCTCCCAGTGTGCGCGTTTGAAGTTGTTGTGTGTTTTGCGTGGTTGTGGGTTGTTCGTTTTGGATTGCGTTTTGACGGTGATGGGTGGTGGTCTGAACTTGTGTCTGTTACTGTGCTCCATGTAGTTGTGTTTGCTAGGTTTGGAGAGCAGAATGTTATGTCTGGGGAGGTGGCTTGTGTGTCTGCTTGGTATGGGATGTGAGTGTGTTGCTCTGTGTCGTTGAGTATATAGAGTGTGTTAAGTTGCGTGGCTAAGTTTGTTCCTCTGTCATCTGCTTGTTGGTTGTTGTACCATCCTGGGTGCTTGGCGTTGAAGTCACCGCCCAGGATGATGTTTTTTTGTGTATCCAGGGCCTGTAGCGAGAATTGATAGTTAGCAGGTAATCCTGGAGAGTTGTGTGTATGTGTTTATGAGTGTGATGTTGGGGTTGTGACCTGTCTCTGTCATTTACGTCTCTGCGTGTCTGTTGTGTGGTGTCGATGTATGAGACGCTCTCATGTTGTTAGGGTTTTAAATAAGACATTTGAATTCTATAATTTTATGTTCAGAGGAAACTAACATCTCGTTAACGACCGTACTTTAGGAGCTCTAGATTAGTCATTGTGTCGGACGGAACCGTGAAGGAGGTGTGTATATTGTTGTTACTGTAGGCTGTTGAAGTGTTGATTGTCAAGTGTAAATATTATTCAGAATAGTTATGAAGTGTATATTGTTTTAATAAGTATGTATTAGTGGACATGTATTATCATTGTAAATACTCAACAAGTATCTTTAGCATTTCTTATACTTAGTTTTTGTTTTCAGGAAAGTTCAGAGCTTGGACTTAAACCTGGATTATTAAATGGTTGACAACAATGGATATTAATTAATTGCACCCTTGAAAGCCGAGAAGTTGGGTCAATGGACGATCACGAGCCATAAATATAAATGATGATGCTTGGGGCTAGTTGGCTTTGGTGTGAGCCCACAGCAATGTATGTATGTGATGAGACCCCCGCCAGCTCCATATGTGCTCTGTCTTGTCGCATTGTGGAGTAGGACGGGATGTTGGGTGTTTTATGTCTGTGTTGTAGTTTTGTTTATTGTATTAGTGCTACGTGTATGTTGTGCTTGTGTATTAGGTGTTTGAGCTCTTGGTGTTTGGTGCGGATGCCGTCTATGTTAAGTTGCAGGATATTGAGAGCCCTGGTGTTTCTGGTGTTTTTGTGTCGTGGATGGTGTTGGGGTAGGGGTGGTGGTGGTCGTGGTGGTGGTGCACGGCAGCTGTGGAGGCGGTGTGGGTTGATGTGGGGGCGGTGTAGGTTGCTGTGGTGGTGATGGGGGTGGCGGTGGTGTTGAGTGTGGGGTTGACTGAGATAGGGGATGTGCTTGTGGTGTATGGGTTTGTGATGAGGTAGTGTTTGTGGTGTTGTTTGTGCGAAGGCAAGTGGTGCATTTAAAGTCGTTTATGTAGTGAGTAAGTGAAGGGAGTGAAGTGCACCGGAGGTGGACCCACTCGCCGCAGGAGTTGCAACGAACGGAGCCAACACTACGTTTGATGTGTCTAGTGCAGGTGGGGCAGATGTAGATAGGTCCAGGATTGGACTCGATGTCCCGGGCGAGTAAGTGTAAGAAGGATTCAATGGCCGGGACATAGAACCCCTCTGTCGAAAAGACGAGGGACGAATCCCCCGCCGGCGGCGCCGCCCAGGACGCAAGGTACCCCGTGCCAAGGCCGGGGGTGGGGTTGAGGTCGGGGAGTTTGGCCGCCTAAGGTCGCACGCTTCCTTCGACGGGTGCCGCCAGACACCCCGGTGAGAAGAGGCGCTCCACTCGAAGAAGCTCCCACATCCAGTG